TTGAGGATACAAGCCGATGTCTTGATCAATTTTTAAGAGTTTATTTTGATTTTACTTAATATAGATGTATTTTCAAAACGTTTGATATTTATTTTCTTTTTAAATTTCTTAAAAATGAAATCAATTTTTTAAAGTTTTTATTTTATTTTCTTTCTTTTTTTCCCTACAAATTGAAAGAATAAGATGAACAAAGATTACTTTGGTACCATTTGATTTGAGAGTTAAATTTATTTTAATTTATTAAAATTAGGACTAAATTGATAGAATATATAAGTAACATGAACCAAATGTGTAATAATATCAAATATTTTAATTGCCACATTAGCTTTTCCTTTAAGATTAATGACAAGTGACTTAATTGAATTCATTTAAATAGTTGAGTAACTGATTAAAAAAATTCAAAAATAGTGGTGTAGAATTTGTCTTTAAAAATAACATATATATAAATCGGGTATTCGTAATTTAAAAATGCATGTAATTACTTTTTGCAGATACTCGAATAATAGGTACCCGATATTCATGGATTGGGATACGAACTATATTTTCTACTACTCGTAAAAAACCGGGTATCTAGATATACTAGTACTCATTATTGAACACCCTGGTTAATAATATTTACAGTTACTAAAAGACAGTCTTTATGCAAATCACATAGAAATGACTTTTTTGCATTGTCAATCCACTTAAAGTCGATTTTCACCCAGCTAATCAAGATCAAAATCAAAGCAAATTATATTGAAGGGTTCTTTGCCTATATAAGAAAGCTTCATGGTAGCTTTCCGAACACACCAAATAAAATCAAGTGTTCTCATACATTTGATTATTTCTTTCTTCCTCTTATTGTTTCAAGCCTTTGTTTGCTTGTGAGGTGTTCAACAATTGATATCAGAGTTTTGGTGAAGGTTGTTCGATTGTTGCTAAAGTATTGTGGTAGTATGACGGTGTATGTCTAAAAAAGTCTTAGAAAAGACTTGGTATTTAAGTGATATGTGTGATCCGCCTCTCTTTCTTGAGAACTTAATGAATTATTCACAAACTACCTCCACTGTTTCATTTAGTTTTGTGAAAATCCTTTGTCAACAATATGACCGACTTACATGCCGTCGGAGGAATGAGAAAACTTAATAATGACAACTACAATACATAATCAACTTGTATAGTGTCATATATGCAAGGACAAGACGTATAAGAGATTATCAATAGTAATGAAATGGAGTAACCAGAAGTAGAAGATGCAAATGAAATACTAAGAAAATGGAAGATAAAAGTAGGCAAAACAATGTTAACCTTAAAGATAACAATGGAGGAAGAAATGCTAGAACACATTCATGGTGCCAAAATCCTAAATGAAGCTTGAGAATTATTCACCAAGTTGTTTTCTAAGTAGAATGATACATGACTCCCACTTTTGGAGAGTGAGTTGTTGTCTAAGAAGCAAGGCAACATGATGATCAAACAGTACTTTTAGAGAGTGAGTTGTTGTCCATGAAGCAAGGAAACATAACAATCAACCATCACTTGTAGAATTTGAAAATTTATTAGCTAATCAAGAAGTCTTAGCTATACAAATGGGAGAAGTTTCATTGACAAAAAGAAGAAGAGACACTCCATACCAATATAGCCAAACAAATTTCAAACAGTGTGACAATGTAGGTTCAATAAAAATCAAGGAGAAGAAAACTTTCGTGAAGGGGAAGGCTCCAAAAACCATGACAACAAAAAAAATGTTTGAATGAAAATGTTACAACAATGGGAAGAAATGTCACATGGAAAAAGCTTTTTGGTTGAAGAAAAAAACATGGAGAGTAATGTTGTTACTTCCAAAAATGAAAAAGAATGTGACACAGAGGCATTCTTCCTAGTAGAAGATGAAGAGACAACTCATAAAAAATTACAAATTTCGTTGTTTTAGGCCTTACTTTTATGAAGCATCTTTTTCTGAATTATCACAACTTAAACCTCATAAAAATTTCACTAATCTAGTCATCCAACATAAGCATAAAAAATAGCCTGTATTACTTCCAAACACTAACTTTTTCAATATTTCTGACACAACATCCTAGATCTCAAGGAAAAGGCTAATGAATTTGTTGGGTTTGTTGGTCAAGAAGTAGTGGATGTTTTTACAATGGATATTCATCACTGTGATGTTACTATAAATCACATGTAGTATGTAAAGGGCTCAATAAGTATGTAATAAGGGAGCTTCTTAAGATATAAAAGAGTCACACCTTGATAATAGACGTCCAACTTATGTTGATAAGAAAACCCCCCACAAATGTCGTTTGGATTGCCCTTCATAGATGCAACCTTTATAATTGATACTTAATCTTTAATGAAAGGAATGAATCCCTCAATAGCTCTCTAGAATATTTTTAACTCAGAAAAGAGAAAGCCTCATCTTCACACATTATGCAATACTAAAGCATATCTAATACACACAAACACTAAAATTCTATTTCCTCCATTTAAGAATTGGTATCCTTAGAGAGTATTTTTCCATTGTCTCTCCTAGAACGTCAATATCCTTTACTATGTAGCCATAACATTGAGATTCCTCTGCTATGTAGATATAGTTTAGGGATGTCTCCTTGTTATCCAAGAGCATCAAGTTACCTCCATTTTTACCTGATTAAAGGATTTTTTCCAATATCTTTTCATTGTTCAACCATAAGAGTTGAGATGCCTTTGTTACAAATAAGTAATGTTGAGATGCCTCCATTTACTTTATACAAAAGCATCGAGATACCTCTACCCATTCTGTAATCTTCAAAAAGGAGTAGAGTTGCCTTCACTCGAAGCTTACAACTAGTGGAATTTACCTAAGGGGTCATGTTACCTTAGCTATATGAATAAAAGATCTTTGATTTTGTTTTAAAGAACATCGACCCTAATGAAGGGAAGCCATTATTGCTTCTTCCAAGGTGAAGATGCCTCAACCTAACCTATAATATTCCTCCTATGGTGTGAAGATGCCTCCGCTCCTCTTACAAAACTAATGGGATAGAGTTGCCTCTTTTACTAATAGAGAATTGACATGCCTATTCTCATCTCTAACTAAATGAGACTCTTCTATTATCTCTATATCACTAATAAAAAAAGTTGAGAAGCCTTCGTTCTAGCAATAAAAGTCTCTCTATTACATTTCATATGATGTTAAGATGCCTCCACCCTAAAATCATTTAGATGCGATGTTAAGATGCCTCAACCCTAAAATCATTTAGTTGCCCTACACATTACATGATAGTCCATCAAAGACATGTAGTTGTCTCAAACTCTAGCTTCTATGATATTGTGAGTGTCGAGATGTTTTTTCCCTAGCAAGAAGAAATTGGAAATTTTCCATTGCTTCTACCAAGGGAAAGATACTTCAACCCAACTTGTAGTATTCCTCTAGGAGAGTAAAGATGCCTCCGTTTCTTATACAGTGCCATTATGGATAAGTTGCCTCATTTACTAACCAAGAGCTTTGAGATGCCTCTTCACCTCTCTAACTAAAATGACTCTTTCGCTATCTCTTTAATACCATCTAAAAGAGTTAAGATGCCTCTATTCTAGTAATATGAGTATCTTCATTTATGCTGACAAAAACCTAATTATAGGGGTTCGCACCAGCTTTAGAGGTCTGCGAATAACACATCTTCTTTATGCTAATGACAACCTTTTCATCTTTAAAAACTCTATTCAGGAAGCCCAAAGAATTAAATGTCTCCTAAGCACTTATGAGGATACCTCTGGTTAGAAGATAAATTATGATAAATCGAGCATTTACTTTAGCAATAAGACTTGACAAAAGGACCGTGATAGCATCCTGATGGTTTTTGGAGTGGTAAAGAAAGAGGATCCAGGAGATTACCTTGGCTTACCGTTGGTTGTTGGTAAAGGGAAAATTAACACTTTTGGTTTTGTTCACAACATAACGACTAAACGCATTCAAGGATGGACTAAAAACCTTCTCTCATTCGAAGACAAAGAAGTTTTTCTTAAGTCAGTTGCACAAGCCCTTCCCTCTTATGCTATGTCATGTTGCTTACTCATAAATGTGATCATTGAGGACATTACCTCCCAAATTCGTGTTTTCTGGTGGTCGGGCAAGCAGGACAAGTGATATTAGCCATGGTGTCATGGGATAAAATATGTAGAGCCAAGTTAGGAGATTAGACTTCAAGGATCTTAAGCTGTTCAATATTGCATTGAGCTTTCCCATGTGGATTTGGGTTCTTCGTGTTGCTGGGCAGCGATCCTTGCTGCCTAATACTCGATGCATTTGCCAATTACCCAACTTAGTTCTCTAAAGCTCTTAGTGACATTGATTATCTTGCCATGTACTCCTTCATTAAGGCCTCAAGGGATGTATGATCGTTGGATTGCGTTGAGGATTGCCCTTTATAATTTTACCTTTGCTGTGGCAATATGGCCTTATGTCTGATGCTGAGGCATTGGCTGTTGTTGATTGTACTGTTATGGTTGGTAATGATGTTGCTGATTATTGTAGTGATGTTGTTGTGGATTGGCAGTGTTTTGACTTCGCCAATATAGGTTGGGATGGTTGCAGAAGTCATCATTGTATACGTTCCCATAAGTATTTGCATTGTCATTTATGTTGTAATTTCTCACTAAATAGACAAACTCGAGGTTTTATGGACATTCTTCAAAGTTATGGTCATCACCGCAATAAACACAATTAACAAAATATGAAGATTTTACCTAATACATACCCCTAGTTTGTGTAGCTTCTTAACTATATATGTCAATGCAGTGATTCGGGAAGCCATAGAATTACAGTTGTCCATATCCACTGTTGCAGCATTACGTATGCTGAACATGTTTCCCGTGTTGGGATACTGATAATCATTGTTTGATATTCTTTCCAAAATATCATAAGCCTCATTATATGTCTTATCCAGCAATGCTCCATTTGCTGAAGGATCTACTACCTTTCAAGTATGCATTTTCAACCCATTATAGAATATTTCCATTTGTGTCCAATGCAGGAATCCGTGCATTGTGCATTTGCATAGTAATTCCTTAAAACGTTCCCAAGCCTCGTATAAACTTTCATCCTCTAATTGTTTGAAATATTTAAAATCATTTCGTAGCTTTACATTCATGTTGGGCGGATTGAAATGCAACAAGAATTTTTGTTCTAACTCATTCCATGATACTAGCACCAGTCGACAGTGAGTTAAGCCATGCTCTAGCTTTATTACGGAGCGAATAGGGAAATAACTTCAGCTTCAAGGCTTGTTCAAGTACTCATTTTTGTATAAATAAGTCGCACACCTCTATGAATGCTCTAAGGTGTGCTCTAGGGTCTTCAACAAATGAACCGATATACTGCCTCATTGATTGCAGCATCTGAAGCATTACCAAATTCAGCTAAAAATTGGCAGCATGTATTGCTGGTCGCACAATGCCAAGATGTAAATCATCAAGTGTTGGAATCACGTGCTCCCAAATAGGTCAGTTTCAGTCATCCATGTTGTAATAATGCTTCTAGTTACCTCCATTGCTAGACGATAATCCATCTTCACCATTTGGCACTTGTGGAAAATCGTTGTTACCACATGTTGGGCCATATTTTATCGATTACGAGCTTCTTCTCTATGGTATTCTCGTAATGTATGTTTGATTTCAGGATCAAAATGCTATAGGTCTTGATTGTTGCTCACCAACAATATTATGCTAGAGAAAAATGTACCTACAAAAAGAAAATAAACAAAATTAATAAACAAAGAAACAACTCTAAAGTAAAACAATTACTCCCCAACAACGGTGCCAAAAACTTGATGTTACGTAAGATGCTATAGTAATTACGAAAAAATATGTATCGTTCAGGTAATAACGTGAAAGCTATAAAAACTTCGGATGTTGAACCCATAAAGAGTGTATGTGACAAAAAAGTTGTTGTTGGAAAAAGAAAATATAAGTAATGCGTATTTTAAGAAGGTAACAGAAAGATTGCAAAGTAATAAATTCAGAATGATAAAAACATGAGAATGCTACTATAAGCAGTTGAGCAGTGGTAGCTTACAGTACGATTATGTTGTGGCAATGCAATTATGAGTTATCCAGCGGTTAACACATTAATCCTCTCTCAAGAATTAAACACTCAACCAAATGGAGTTAACTATCATCAATACCATAGATTAAACAGTTAATGAAGCATAACACTCGGCATCATACATCTCTATATGATTTAGTTTACTCTCATAAACACCGATGTTGGAGCAAAAGTAGCATGCAATCTCAATAATTCTTATCTCTAAAAACAACCAAGAATAACACACATGAAGGTGAAATTATCTCTAAAAACATCCATTAAAAAGAACTCAGCTCATAAAAATATTATTCAAAGTAAAAATCATAAAGTAGTCATTTCATTGAACACATTATACTCAAATCCAAATAACATACAAAAAACAATAAAACATTCAAACTAATTTAAGTATCTTCCCTTCTTAGAAAAAGAAACAAATTAAAGATCGAACTCAATCGGTAGTCGCTACTACACGATTGCTCCACACTATTGGTACACTCTCTGGAAAATGACTTAGGCGACCATGATGATGGTATGAGAAAAATAAAAGGGTGTCCAAGTTTTTTCTTCAAGATTGAAAAGGTGTGTAGAAAAAGTTATATTTTTAGCCCATCATAATTAAACTTTCAACCAATAGATAAGTTACTCTTTTTCTGAAAATTCCTTTTTAGATTCAAAATTCAGCCTTTAATCCCACAACTTTATCACTTCCTAAAATTTCAAACACCTTGTGACTCAACAGTTGTTGCAAAATCATCTCAGCAATCTAGTCCAGCATCAGCGTACAACATTAACAATGTCACATCATTAGTTTTACAACAAAAATATTAAAATCAACCTAAGTATCAGGAATTCACTCTCACTATACAAATGATGTACAATATGCTAAAATCAAATATAAATATGATCCTAAATATGCTAAAATGCAAACTTAACTTAAGTAAAAAGGATGTAAAATATAACACTTTTGGAGAGTTATCATCCCACTGCCACGGTGCTTCATGAACAGATCAAGCTAATAACCTGGGAACGAAAAATATTTGAATGCTGAGATTACAAAGCCCAATAGTATAATCGTTAATCTAGAGCAGCATAATGAGCCTCATAAACACAAGCAAACCAAAGACATGGTATTAAGCAGTAGGTACATACATGGCCATGATCAAGTGGTACCTACTTAAGGTTTAATTGTTCTATTGCTAAAGTATGAGTCTCATGCTTCCCTTAATCCTCTACTAAGGGCCTTGCCATGAGTACACCTTTATTGGATTTCTAACCACAATGATTATAACTGTTTTGCATTATCTAAATGCAACATATGACACGCTACTAGTATCTGATCTCACATAGCCATTAGATACTAGTTAGTTGAGGGAACCTAGCAATCACAGTGCATCAGTAAAATTCTTACTAAGCTATTGAATAATCTCCTGGTCTCACATAGTAATCAGGTAGATCATGGAGGAGAGTCTGATTATCACATAGCGTCGGTACAATTCTCGCTTGACTAAAGCATTGGCTCGTTCTCACACAGCCATCAAGCTAAGATATAAGAATATATGTTGTGTTGTGTTGTTACAACTATACATGCATGTCTGAGGGTCCAAGGCCCTAAAACACTGATAATCCCCTACGATGACAATTTAGGTAGCCTAGCTACACACCACTGACAATGCCCCACTAGCGCATTTTAGGTTGCCTCGTCACACACTAGTATAGCTCGGCATACTAAAGTAATACCCTAACTAGCTTCTATCTTGCTCGTCCTCTCATCTAGAATGTTATGCAAGTGTTTATTAGTTTGTTTTATCTGTTAGTCTATTAAGCTACTCTATTCTGGTCATTTTACACAGAAGGGCGATTTAGTCATTTCCATCTCTAAGGAGATATTTATGTGTTTCATGATATTATGATGAATTCTTTTGCTCACTTGTGGTATTATTTGAAACCCCGACACATGACTCAAGTTTATTACTTGGTAGTGATACTCTAGTCGCTATCATCATGTTTTCCTCAATTAACCCTCAAATTGGAGTGATAATTGTACGTCCACGGTTCATTGATATTCTTATAGTACACGATTATAATATTATGTAATTTGATTAGTTTATTATACCTCTTTTCGGTACGTCCTCTACAATGATCCTTCTTTCTTAGCTACTTGATACATGCTCGACTGAGGATACTTGGACGTATTATGCCTAATGTATTTACTTCGTTCATACCCCAGTCGTACGAGTGTTTATAGGTACATTTCGTCATTTATGTCCCTCGCGGACTAAGTTCCATCATTGCGGGTCATCCTTAACTCGTAAGGGGGCATTTGGTTCAGGGTATCTCACATTACCAAGGGAATGGAATGTTATTCCCCCGTTTGGTTGGAAAACATTCGCAGCCCCCGATAATAAGTTATTCCCAACAGTGTTATTTTGGGGGTATATTACCGATAATGTGATTACCCCATTCCCTTAGGTATTGTTACATCCCATCGTTTTGGATTAGAATACCGTTATTTTTTCCAAAAATATCATTCTTATGTCGTTGAATAAAAAAATCTACGAAGGTTAATTTACAAATTTATCCTTAAACTATTTTAAATTTACAAAAAAGTCCATAATTAGAATTTTATATGAAGTTCAGGGGTTAAAATAAAATTTTACAATTTCATTAAACCTATTTATCTTTTCAATTTTGTTAAAAAATTCTATAAATTTTATGATTTTAAAATTTTAAAGGAAAATATATAAATTATTTATAGTAATATTATAGTAGAATTCAACTTGTTAAAAAAACAAATATATAATAAGGACAATTTGGTAAAATATACATTCCAATAATCTTTTATTCCTTTAACTAAACACTGTAATCTTACATTCCTGCTAAACGAACCAAACACAAAATACAACATTCCTAGTAATCTTATTCTCGTCGGTAATCCTATTTCTGCCGGTAATCTTACATTCCATTAACCAAACGCACCCTAAAGGTCTAAAAAAAAGTCAATTTTAACTATCCAAAATGGGTAGTATCGATATCTTACATGTAGTATCGATACACCCTAGTCAAGTATCGACACGATCTTGAATATCGTACCAAAAACAACTTTTGTTTTGCAAAAAATCACTTCAATATCAATACTGTAATTCTAGTATTGGTATTACAGTATCTGTACTGTAATTCCAGTGCTGATATTACAATATCAGTATTGTTCCAGTGCTAGTATTACAGTATCAATATTGTGATTTCATTGTTGGTATTACAGTATCGTTGTTGTTTTTCTAGTATTGGTACTCGAACCTAAAAATGTCTTGTTTAAGCTTGAGAATCACTCAAGAATCATCCCAAAGGTCTAACTTTGGTCCCAATTCATGTGCTAAAGCTTAAGAAAGCTACTTAGGGTCACAAAGTACCATAAAAACACATATTTTACATCAAAAACCTCATCTATGACATTAATCAAGAATAAACCATAAAAAGCTTAAATATTTAAGTTTTAATAAATCTGCATGCTTATGAAAGTCTTAACTCCACAAAGTATTAAAAGTACACTATATTGACGCTAGAATCCCAAAATAAAACTCTTTTTTTTAAGCTACACTCACTTCCTCTAGGGTTTGCTTGCTCAACCCCCTATTTTCTCTAGCAAACATCTTTGTATCATCAAAACAAGTTGCTGGAGGGACTAGGTACGAATTTAAAGCTTAAAGTGAGCATAAAAGGGGCTCAAGGAACTTACCCTTAGCTATGGAACTCGAAGAGGAAAAAAAGGAACAAGAGAAATGAGAATGAAGAAAAATGAAAAAAGAATAGATGAAATGAGATATAAAAACTCTCATCTTTTTAAAAATGAGCAAGTTACTCTTTTGTTCACTCCTTATCTTTTTACTATGCAAAAATTCCCATTTTATGATCAATCAGGCCTAATTCACAACCAATTAATCCCACACTTGACCTAACGACTTTAATTTTGAACTCTACAAGGTTTACATACCTCTCGATTAAACCCAAAACTACTAAGTTAGAATTTGGGTATTACATGGCCTACCGATTTAATGTACATTG